AGACTAAATAGGGACTTCGTTAATGTTAAGTTATCTATAGGCATAGCAGCCTCCTAACAAACATCTAACCTATAGCAAGTGTTCCCCCTTATCTGTATAGGGGCGGTAGTAGGGTCTATGTAGGGGCGGTAGCAGGGTCTATATAGGAGTAGTAGTAGGGGTAGAGGTAGGGGTAGGGGCAAGGGTAGGGGCACTTAAAGCGTACCTATCGACTCCTCTCTACGATCCCGTCGGAAAGTTCTTCGATAAAGCGTTCTAGACGGAGCTATTAGCATCTCTTTATAGACTAAATAGGGACTTCGTTAATGTTAAGTCATCTATAGAACGTTGCCTATAACCCGAACTTCTACATAGTAGCCTCCTAACAAACATCTAACCTATAGTAGATGTTCCCCCTTATCTATATAGGGGCAGTAGTAGGGTCCGTATAGGGGTAGTAGTAGGGTCTATGTAGGGGTAGTAGTAGGGTCTATATAGGAGTAGTAGTAGGGGTAGAGGTAGGAATAGGGGTAGGGGTAGGGACACTTAAAGCGTACCTATCGACTCCTCTCTACGGACGACGATACTAATCTAAAAATCATTATGCATTTTTACATGCTAGACGACTCTAGGCGTAGCCGTAGGAGATAGCTAGAAGTAACAGGTCGTAGCATATAGGAGGATTTTGCATATCCTAGTATGTAGTAGGCACGATATTAGCATTGTCGACGATAAGGCCTAATGCTCTTTACGATGCCGATATCGTGCTTACTATATAGTAGGATATGTAGAAGAGCCTACTAAAGTTACTTTGCTAAGAAGCTAGGACTACTTAAGAAGTTCGGTTGTCACTTTAGTTATGCTGTAATAGTCAATATAGGGAAAGACTATTATAGCGTAGGAAAAAACTTTTTAAGCTAGGGTGCTCCCCTTAACGACTAATTTTCCATTTTTCCTACAATTAGTGGACGAGCAGAGCATAGTACTTGCTTCTAAAGGTTATTACGGACTATTATAGGTCATATGACTATAGCGGGGATCATTATAACTTGCGCCCGAAGCTTTGTTTGTGTTTTTCGATTTTTGGCGTTCCCTCCTTAACATTCCCTACACTAACCTATATTTCGACCCCTAAACAATATGCCTCTAATTATTGGTGTAGCTAGTCGACTTTATAATGGTCATATATAGTAGCAGATAATTGCTATAGACTACGAAGAGCCTAGAGATGATGACTATAGTATGTTTTGCCTCTCTTCTATAGGTGTGGCCCCTTACTAAATAAGTCGTATAGGCCTAGGATTTGTAGATGACCTCTTAAGTCACTTTAATACATTCGAGATAGAGGTTAACAAGAGATAACTAGACGAGGATGCCGAATTGCTAATAAAGCCGTATACGAGGAGGCGATCCCTAAGCCTTACTCGTAAGCAATATATAGTAATCGATAAGAGCGCTACCCTCGATAGCGACAGTAGATATAGTTATATAAGATCGGAACTAGATGAACTATCCGATGACGAGGAAGATAGCGACAATAAAGATAGCGAAAAAGGAAGCGACTACGCGAACATTACAAACAAACGCAACTAAAAACACCTACCTCTAAAGCTAGTAGCTAGAGCAAAGACTGTGCTAAAAAAGATGGCTCCTTATCGTACGGCCTAAAAGCAGCGTAAGGCGTGTAATAGTCTTATAATAGTAAGCCTACTAATTATCGTATAGCAAAAGTCCTAGCCGCCCCCCGCTATATACGTTAATCTATAAAGACGGTAAAGACCGTACTAAAGCTAGCTCTAAGGCAACGAAAACGTAAGTTATAATAATTAAAATAGGTCTCGTATACTAACACCATTATAGGAAAGTCTATAGTTATAGTGCGCCTAAAGACGTCTAGGAGAAGAGGTACTATAAGCGTAGATGCACTAAGATACCTATTCTAATTAGATACACAGGCTAAGGAACTATAGCTCTTCGAGAGATCCGGAACTACTAAAAGAGCATAGATCTTATTATCCCTAGGCTGCCATTCTAGCGCCTTATAAGGGAAGTTACTAGCGTTCTAGGCTATGACCTGCGCTTTCGTTCTAAGGCGATTATAGCACTATAAGAGGCTACGGAGGCTTATCTTATATAGCATTTTAAGTTAGCCTAGTTGCTTGCTATCTATAGAAGGCGAGTCACAATTATGTAGAAGGACATGCTACTAGTTCGGGAGTTTAAAAAACGTCTGACCATTTGATTTAATTAATTAGGTAAGCTAATTTTCTCCCTTCTATATGTCCCCGAAGGACCTAAAAACTATAATAATACAATCATTCTTCTTATGTTTCTGTTCGCGCTCTGCAAATCGTTAGACTATTATAAGACTATTATACGTTAATCGTACATACCTAAACTATTAAAGAGTTACGCGGCCTACGATTGCCTTAATGAGCTTAAAGTCCTTCGACTAGATAGTGACACGCTTTGCATAAATGGCACCTAGGTTAACCATCTTAAACATCATAATCATATGTGCTTCTATAGCGACCTAAAGAGCATCGATGGCAGATTTCTAGAATCGCAGATCTTCTTTATAGTCCTTAGCAATTTCTCTAACGAGTCTTTAGAACGGTAAGATAGCAATAAGTGTTCTAGTAGTTGCCTAGTAGTGCTTAATTTCAGAAAGGGCATTTATTCCTATATACTATTAGCATAAGACTATTATAAGACTATTATAGTATATATACCGCCCTTCTTGGTGTTAGTTAATAGGACGAATCTTAGAGCCTTGTCGCCGAGCATGTTTCCTTTTCCGCTTAAGTTATATAGTCGAGGTCCTTCGTAGTTTTTACCCTTAGACGATTTAGCTACGTTCTTCTTAGGTACTTGCTTCTTAGGTGCTTACTTCTTAGGTAGGACCTTTAGTAATCGCTTGCTAGCAGGGACGGTCTTTTTTCTAGTCGATTCTCTACTAACAGGAACCGTCTTTCCTCTAGTAGATCTTCTACCGCTTCTAGTAGCATCGGGTCCGGGTACGCGCTTTTTTAATGCTCTTATGCTTAGAAGGGGATTAATATTAGAATCCTCGAGATTAGACACGCTGTTTAGTGTTAGCTAAGACTATTATAAGACTATTACACCTACTTACCTTGCCTTTAAGACCTTCATCTTCTTAAGAGTCTTTTTAGGTACTATAAGTGTCTTAGAATTAGAATTAGAATCAGAACCTAATAGCGATTCTAGACCCTCGTCCTCTAAGGTTGCAGGAGTATTAGGCCTCTTATTAGGGCCCTCTCTGCGGTTCTTTCCTTTAGTAGGGGTAGTAGGGGCACTACGAATCATTAGCTTAGACTAGTATAGTTCTATTACATTAGCACTTACTCGCGCAATTTAGAAATCCATTCTAGGACTTTAAGCTCTATGTCCATTTAAGTCTACGTAGTATCGTAGGCCGAAAGAACGCCGAGCATTTTGCTATAGATATTGCTAAAGGCGTTGTCGTTAGGGTTACGTCCGCGATCGAGATTATAGATTCTACTATACTTAACGCCTAAGGAACCGATGTCTAAGCCTTCGATCTCGACGTTAACAACCGGGGGTGCCGTAGGAAGGATTACGTTTAGGTTATTATCTATCTAGTGTTAGTAGACTATTATAGGACTATTANTAATAGTCTATAATAGTCTATTAGAGCTATATAGCTATATTTAGAGATTTAGACGGCTTTTCCTAGAAGTAATTATTAGCGGGACGAACGGGAAATTAGGCGGGACAAACGGGAAATGGTCTTAGCGGGATCCCGTCCCGGCGGGATTTATGCTTAGCATTTCCCGTCCCGTCCCGTCTAGTCCCGTAGGGAGGTCTAAGCACTAATAATCTTTATAACCTCTATCGTTACTTAATCTAAGCATTCCTTAAGAAGGTCGCTAGTAAGGCGAGCGCGCGTTAGAGGTAAGTATTTAAGTGCTAGATTAAGCGCCTTAAGCAACTTAAGTAGCTCTAGATTTAACTAATAAATGTTAAAGGGCAGTCCTCCTCGATAAATCGACATAGTAGCTAGTCTATCTAACTAATGTAGATTAACTTAAGTAGTTACTAAGCTCTCGCCCTCGCCCTCGCCCTCGCTAGCGCGATGTACGCTAACTACCCTCGCTAACTTCCCTTAGAACTCGCCCTCGAACTTATTAAGAGCTAGAACACTAGCTTTTATCGCTTAAATAAATGGCTCGCAGCCTAAGAGGTGTAGTTCCCTTCGACTCTAGTTCTTATTCTTCCTATGCTAATTTAGACACCAATTGTAGTTATAATAGCTACCTTCCTTAGCGCTAAACTGTACGCTAATAGTACGAGCTAGTCGACCGCCATTGTTCGCTATGTCCTTGTCGTTATATAGCACTTTAAAGCTCGAGCTTAGAGCTTAGAGCTTAGAGGCGCTAACGCACAGATCACCGATCTTAGAGGCTAGCGGGGTACCTCGGCAGTTAGTAACTCTGATTTCTATGGTTTCTAATAGGTGTTACAAACTAACATGTTACAAACTGTTAGAAACTGTTACTTGAGCACCCCTACGCTCAGAGCCAGAGGTGAGGAAGGGTCACAGCAGCACATCACATCTGGAGCGCCAAAAGCTTTGTTCGGTACAACGTGTCTGGCTGCCTTGTTCCAAGCACCGTGTGTGCAACTGTCGTATGACAGATGAAGCCATGGCGACAGTGAGCAGCAAGAGAAAGCGCCCTCAACCACCTTCCGCACCTTCTTCGTTCGACTCGGAGTCAGTCTCCACGACGATCATGGTCAATGCCAATACGCGCAACAGAGACGACAGCCCAAGCATCAGTGTCGCTCAACATCTATCGCGACTAGACATGGCTGCCACCGACCCTCCAACCACAAAGAAGCGTCCTGCCGACATGGACGAGATCAACGAGACTCCCGGCGCCTACGACTCAATCATGCCCTCGCCCAACACATCACCCACGCCCAACAACTTGGTACCGCAACGAGGCCGCTTTATCCTTCACCCGCCTCGCCGCGTCACCTCTCCTCCGCCTCCTACACCCATCGCTTCACCAAATCATGAACAAGACCAACAATTATCTCTACCGACAGCCATCAAGATTGCACAAGACAAGCTGTCCACACTGCGCTGTGACTCCCCGTCCACCCCTGTTGAGGACGAACACAACCAAGACCAAAATATGACCTGGCAAGAAGATGAGATTACTGGCCGTAATGTCGACGACACGGCAGACGATGACGGCGAAGGTATCAACGGTATTGGCTTCATACCGACCCCAGCCATGGTTATCAAGCGTTCTGAACAGCGCCGTCGTCAAATTCTAGAATGGCGTGCCCGCGAGTCCAGAGAAGCTCGCCAACGCCGCTACGACAAGCGTAAGCCTTCACACCGGGACTCTGCCATCTCTCTGGACGATGGTGGCGGCTCCTTCAAGCGTCGCATGGTCAGATTCGCTGAAGCTTAGACGCTCCAACACATATTAAGCACGATCTTCATGACATGGTGGGACACGGCGTTACGAACAGGTTGCTTTTATTGCTTTTATAGGCGTTGTATGGCGCCGCTACTGGATACCCATAAATCACAAGGACATAAGGCTGGGTCAAGGAAATGGGCTCTTTCTACAACATATCAAGATGGACGATATGAATGCTTTCTTCTACTCTTTTCTTCCATTTCATGACTCGCCGTTGATGTGCATGCTAATAGGTGATCGAATCAAGCAAGCACCTGAACCTATTTGGCTATCAGTCGATATCACAACGAATAACTGACTTAACTCCTTGGACGGACGACATTTCCTGTTTCCACTCAAAAGTACAAACGCAGGCCGCGGAAAAAGTCGCTCAACACGATTGACCAGATCGATAACACGTCATTGGTCGTGCCCCGCAACTTACCCCACCATACTCTTATCCTCGACGGAGTATATTCCTAGAATTGGAAGACATCGAAGCACCTCTCTTCGGGATGATATCTCGCGAAGGTAAGATGTAGCATATATAGGTAAGCAGTTGACGTCTGGACGCGGTGTTTCTATTCTTTCTTTGCACCTACCTTCCGACACAATCCACAATCATCACACAACTCTCAGCATGCCTCATTCGGTCAGCCCAACTCAAGAGAACGCAACACCTTCCCAGCCAAAGCTCTTCGTCAACGATGGACCACTAGAAAACTACTCATGGCTCCAGCCATCACAACCAGATGAACCATTAGAAGGGCTCCGCAGGAAATACAACGAAGACGGCTATATCTTCCTCAAAGGCCTCATCCCTCGCGAAGATGTCCTCACAGCCCGTCGCTCCTACTTCGACTTCATGTCTCCCTCTGGTGTCTTGAAGCCTGGCACAACATCCGAACAAGGCATTTTTGACTCCGCCAAGTCCGCCGCCGAGTTCCCGGGCATCGGCGCAGGCGCAGTAGGAGGAAACCAGCGACCCGGCGACGACAGAGCAGCAACTTTTGTCGACAGAGCCCTGGACGCACACAAGCAAGACTGGTACAAGGAGACTTTTTGCAAACATCCCGCACTCTCCGAGTTCATCTCGAAATTCTCAGGTTGGGGCGACGATACATTGGCGATTAAGCGTACGCTGTTGAGAAATAATATCCCGGGGACTCATGCTATTGGTGTACATTACGATCAGATCTTTCTGAGGCATGGCGAGCCTACTGCAATTACCGCTTGGGTGCCCATGGGTGATATCAAAGTCAATGGCGGCGGGTTGATTTATCTTGAAAAAGGTAAGTCATCACTCTCTCTCCTCTTCTCTGCTTTTCTATTTATCTTGCTAACGCAATCCACAGCACACACACTCGGCCGCGACCAAGAAACCTCCTTCTACAACTCCGCCATCTCCAGCGGTTTAACAGAAGAACAAGCCAAACACGCCTTCAACGCCACAATGATGGATACAGGGCTCCTCGACTCCGCCCCCTCTGCTTACAGCAAAAGGTTTAATAAGAGGTGGTTGGTTGCGGACTACGAAGCTGGGGATGTAGTGTTGCACACGCCGTTTACGATTCATGCTAGTACGGTTAATCATGATGAGGAGGGCGTCATTAGGTTGGCGACGGATTTGCGGTTTGTTGATTCGAGTAGGAGGTGGGATGGTAGGTGGGACAAGGTTTATGAGATGGATGATGGGTTGTAGTGGCAAATTTTGCGAGTTTTGCATCTATGTCAGGTTTTCTTCCGCCTTGTTGCCTAGTGCATGTCTGTTTAACTTGTTATGTGGAACTGCTCTCGTGAGAATCAACAATCTCCAGGAAGAGCGTGGTAGGAGATGAGAACAAACAAATGTGACGGGAGTACTGTATGAGGAAAAGTGTCCATGTCACAACAATGATTTTGTGAGTAGCCATGACTACGTTCTGTATGTTACTCCTCTCCATTTGGTCTGATGCTCTGTCTCTTATTCCCTTCTACTTGGCCTGCGCCATGTCGCTCAAAAAGACAACTTCGTCATCCGTCACGTTCAGATGAACAACTTTGAATCCATGCTTGATGGCCTTTCCCTTGCCTCTGATCAGTGCTTGAATCTCACTAGGGTGTACCCAGAAGAACACGATCATGACTGCAAACATCAACAATGCGTCAAACACATAAGCAAAAGCTTCATGCGTGATCAAATAGCCACCCGCATCTTCCAAATACTCGATAAATCTGTAAATCGATCGAACAAGGATAAGCGCGCTGCCTGTGTATAGCGCGCTCAAATGTCTCTTCCAAGCAAACTTTTGCGATGCCAGTGTGGGCATCTTGTTCAACCTGACATGGAATATCACACTGGTGATCAGGAACAAGCCGAAGAAAAAGACTTGGATAACAAGACCAACGATGATAATCCAACGGCCGGTGTTGTAGGAGGATGCTTTTTGCTGAGCGAGGATGGCGCCACCCAAGGCTTGAGCGAGAAAACTGAGGACGTCGCCTGTGACGAAGAGTTTGGTGAGCCAGGTGCGGCGGATAGGGGCGACGGCTTCGGCTTGGGTGACCAGGATGATGCGACCGAGAGACATGTACATCGTTGCCGACAAGAGAGCGGGTGCGATGAGAGGAAGGATGAGTTGGATAGCATAAGGTGGGAGTGTGTAGTCTGGGCTTTGCTTTATGGAGACGGTGCGGAAGGTATAGCCTATTCCTTCGACTGGGTCTTGGGTCAGATATCATGCTTTGAAACTGACGGACTTGTAGATTGAGCTTACAGATGCCACCGATGAGGAAAGGTAGCAGATACCAAGTCCGTGTCCGCAGGAGTTGGTACAGATGTACGATGCTGGAAACAAAGAACAAGATTGTGAAGAGTACCGCAGCTGCAATAGAAGCATCGTAGGGGTATACGTTGTGATATATCGTCATGATGAGATGTCCGAAGCGAAGGAACAAGCGATATCCAGCAGCTGATCCAAGTAGTGATACGAAGTAAAGTTGTACTGATCTTAGTTCTCGAACTGTCCTACCTTCTGTTTACGAGGGGAAAGACAAGCGCTTTTGAGCTTGTTGGAAAATGCCAGCGTCCAAGTCCTGAATCAACAAATCGATCATTCCCAGTTCATCGGCAGCACAGCCGCCTACGTTTGTCATTTTACTCCAAGCCGCACTGCAAATGATTCGTTTGCACGAGTGAACCAGGTAGTGGAGGCGTAGTCGGTGTTGCTAGCTCCAGGTTAAAGGTAGAGAGTCTGGGTATCCTGCCTCTTATTCGCATTCGTACTCGTATCCACAGTATCTGTTCAGAAATGTCCAGTCAACCGGAGAATCCCCCGGGATTGGGCTGCTTTCAGGTGGCCGAAAGGTTTGTGTCGGAAACCGTCCCAACGAAGCGAAATAGCAGTCGCTGCGACTCGTATCTGGGCTCCAGCCTGGTCTGTTCGGAGAAACCCTTGCACTGGACGTGAAGATTTCCCTGTCTTAGTGTTGGACTGAAGATTGTCAAGTGATAAAGACCTGCGCGAGAGTGAGGACTTGGAGAGAACAACATCTCTAGCTTCCCGGGAGTACTCAGCACGTCGAAACTTAACCAATGTACCAGTCTTGAAATCCAAGATGATGATATGCAATCCAAGAAGTGGTGATTCTCTGGCCGTGGAGGAAGACGTTTCTCGAATCCAAATTCGTATTCGTACTCGCAAGCAACTTCATGTTGCAACGTGGAGCCGATAGACAACGGGATTTTGGTTCTCAACCTCACCTCCGCATCGTATATCCATACGAAATCCACAAGCTTCGTACATTCGTACCTGCAGAACTCGTCTCGGATATACAACATGCCAGTGTAGTATAAGTAGTCTCCAGGTTCCATCGAGAGCTGCCGTCTTGCTTTGCACTGCCCGCCAACAGCAATGCGAGCTGTTGTTCAACTCCTCTGTTGTTGAACTCCTCGAACCGTGTTTCATTCCACGTTCGCATCAGCCGAAGGCTCTGTAATTGATGTCGCGACAAAGGACTCAAAAGGGGTTCTTTTTTTATTCCATTACCGCTGATATCGACAACAACAACAACATGGTCCGAGGAAACTCCTCCATGCTCGCAAAAGATGCTGCAAAGGGTGAGAGTCGCGTCTTCCGCCTTGAACAGAAGGACATATCGGCCTCGGCATGATCTCTTTTTTGTCAAAGCTCCTCACGCTACACGGGCTGATTGTCCACCGATCCCCGATCAACCACCCGTTCCCGAGGGCTCGCTGCGCCTTGTACCTAACTTTACCCTGACATAATTCACATCTTTATAAATTTTCGTTGATGACTCGGGACCGCTGTCTTCCTATCTTCCGGAGCGACTACAAGGAGTATACAAAGGGACGCCGTTTGCCTGTCCTTGACAGCTGGGACATCTCGGAGTAATGATCAATTGACACGACTACCATGCCACCAACTCGAAAAGCCCATCACAAGTCAAGAGGAGGATGCGTACAATGCAAGAAAAGACATGTCAAGGTATTGATTATTCATGAATATCCTTGGTGTGGCGTCGACGTGATGGACTGATTTTCTGGAAAAGTGCGACGAAGTACGGCCAAATTGTGGAAACTGCGTAAAACGAGAAGCAACTTGCAGCTTCTCCTCGAACGAACAAAGTCCTTCGACTGGTCATGAAGAGCCAAAGTCGCCAATTGCCTCCGAAACTCGACAGTCTATACTTTCTCGAGTCGAAGAACTGGAATTGATACATTTCTTCATGACAACTACCATCAAAACTCTCTGTCATGATCCTAAGGATTGGCACATGTGGGAAGTTGGACTTCCCCAACTAGCTTTCCAGAACGATTACCTTCTCGATGCCGTATTTGCGATGACCTGCCTCCATCGCGGCTCTCTTCACCCTCTCAACAAGAGTTACTGGCTTAGATCTGCCGTCCAATATCAGAGTCGAGCACTCCCGATGTTCTACAAAGTTTTGGACAACGTCAACGAGGGAACTTGCCATGCTGCATTCGCCTTGTAAGTGCGGCCAATCCCAATTTCGGTGGTCAATGTGGTGTGTAAATTGTACAATATTCACATTGACCGGCCTGGGACAAGCACTCGTTCTCTCCCGAATGACGCTAACGATGTAGCAGCTCTCTACTGACTTCTATGGTCGAGATCGCAATGCCTCAAACCGACTACGACCCCATCGAACATCTCGTGGGACTTCGTAGCTACTTCAGAGGGTCAGCTACACTTTGGTTGACCATGGTAGACCATCTAAGATACGGCCCCATGGATCCGTTCTTCAAGCCAAAAACAATCGTGTGGGAATACGACCCGGATATCCGAAAATCATTCCACGACAGGCTGACCGATCTATACGACATTGTCGCCGGGAGCCCGGATGTAAAGATTTACAACGAAACCATCGATCTGTTGATCAGACTGTTCCATGATTCGCCCTACAGCATCATGGTCTTCTCATTATTCGTCGGACCGGACTTCTTCCATCTCGTTTGTCAGCGTGAGCCTCTAGCTGTACTGATCTACGTTTATGTGGGCGTGTTGTTTCATAACGTCAACATCTGGTGGGGAGAAGGAGTAGGCGAACGCATCGTGAATGGGCTGTCACTTCCAGCAGAGCTGCTCGAAAACAACCCTAAGTGTGCGTCAGCGTTGCTCTGGGCCCAGCAGCAAGTCAAGAAGAGACCGGAGCCAGACAAGGTTCTGTTCTGGAGGATATTCGTGAGTTCGTTTGGCCTCTTGTGATTGACCACTTGCTAACATCAAGTTAGAACGCTAAGCAGCCCAACGAAACAGTCGAAGATCTACTACACCCGGATGATAACCTACACAGTCTTCGTTCTAACAATCCATCTACTGTCACGACGCCCAGCGCTTACCTAGGGAACGGACTTACAAAAGATTGAAGAACTCTGCTGGAATGTGTGACAAGCGCCGAAACTGAAGCACCGTCGGATCAACAGTCTTGTTGATTGGAAAGACGAACTCTACGCAGATGTCTGGAGACCGGTTCATATTATCAGATCCACCGGGCTCGATGTGAGCATCTTTGTGCTTCTCAGCGTCTCTGCACATGTGCGGAATCAACATATTTGTCTAGTTCCCTTCGAGACAGCAGGCTCAACACCCCGAGTCCTGTGTCAGCAGAGCGCTGTGTGTTCTCTCGGTCTCTGTCTTCTCAGCGCGGGCCAACAATGGCCAGCCTGGAGTGGCGTGTCAAGCAACAGCACAAGTCAGATCCACCGAGCATCACCAGGAACTTTACAGCAATGCACGTCAGGAACGGCCTTCATGATGGGGACGCTGAGTGTCAGTAAGACTCATCAAGATGTCGATGTATTTGTAAGGAGATTTAATATTAGAACAGCCCTTCCAAAACATTCAGAGCTTCCCCGATTCAATATAATCCACAGCCTAGCCAAGTAGCATGAAGGTCTTGATCGAAGGCCATTTGCTCGCCCACATGTCTTGATGAAACGTTTGTAGTACGTTGTATCTCATGCTCAGTCAGCACTAATGCCTCGCGTGCATCCTCCAAGGACCCCGCTTTCCGCTCACTGCATGAGCTCCTGAACTTGTCTTATAAACGCTTACAGTATATGAACTTGACCGCTTTACTCCCAAAGCACATTGTTGTCATTTACACGATCATCATGTCAACATTAGACGGCTTCGACCTCGAATGCACTATCCACAACCTCCTCAAAGCTTCCGAAATCATCGATTCTTCATCCGCCCAGTACAAATCTGAATCGCAAACATGGCAAGCGCATCGAAACCTCCATCCTAAGTTACTAGCTAGACCGGACTCTTTAGCTAGTCTGTCTCGACTTGTTGCATATCTCGCGGATACCGATCTTGATTGGGCTGTTCGATGTCAAGGTATTGGTGATGCCAGTGCGAAAGATGTGCTGATCAGTCTTGCTGGATTCAAAGAGTTCAGCTTCGATGCTGAAAACGAGAGTATTATCGTTGGAGGAGGCATGACTTGGGGGGAGGTGGAGGAGAAACTGGAGGAGCAGGCACCTGGATATCAAGGTAAGTCTGAACTTACCGCCAGCTTTTTTGAAGTCGGATACTGATCACTAGGTCAGCTGTGAGTGCACGATGCAGTTTCGTCGGCGTTGGCGGCATGATTCTGCATGGCGGTCTGTCCTGGATGTCATCTACCTACGGTCTCGCCTCAGACCCTCAGAACTTTCTCGATGCGCAGGTCGTCAAACTGGACGGCAGTATCATTTGGGCATCCGAAGAACCAGATCTACTATTCGCTCTCCGCGGTGGCGGTCATGAATTCGCCATCGTGACTGCCTTCAAACTCAAAGTTCGCAAGTTCTCACAGAAGATCTATAGCGGAAGCATCAACTACCCGCGATCTTCGCTGCCAGCATTGGCAAAAGGCGTTGCTGAGTTTGCGAAGAGAATGGATGAGTGGCCTAGTACGGCGATGTATCTGTACAATTTGGACTTGATGGAAGGAGTATTCATCGGTGCGAAAGCTCAACCTGGATTGGCCATCTGGCTATTTGATACTGAAGGCGAAGAACATGGAAGAGAGGTATTTAAATGGGCCCTGGAGATCGAAGGAGCTGTTGACTTGACTAAGGTCATGAATCTGAGGGAGGTCAATATCTATGGTGGTAAGTGATGTTGTCGTTTCAATGCTGATGTAAGATTCTGGCTAACCAGAGGCCGACAGACAGTGTAATAGCAGCAAAAGGAGTCTGCTCAGCTAACATGTCCAACCCAACAGTCGCAGGAACAGATATGACGGCAGACCTCATTCTTCGCGCTTGGGATTGGCTAGAAACCACCATCGCCCTCGAACCCACCAAACTCAACATTGGCACATTCGTTCTACTCGAATTGTTCCAGAAGGCTGTCTTCAAATCTGCTGATGGCAGCAACGAATGTGCCTGGCCGCATACACAAAATCAGCATCTCCTGCAACTTGGAGTTGGCAGACCGGATGAGGGAGATTATCCTACGAGGCTGGATGAACAGGCGTTGGACATGCTCAAGAATGCTGGTCCTATGATTGTGGGGGACAGATTCCCGTCGGCGGACTACTTCATTAATTTCTTGCAACCCTGGAATGACTACAGAGCGGTAAGTCATTGGAGCTCTGGTCGATTGGTTTCTAAAGGCTGACATGAATACCAGGTCTATGGCGACAACTACGAGAGGTTACAAGCCGTGAAGAAGAGATATGATCCGAGGGGAGTTTTGGTCAGGAAGAACGAATGAAACGGCAGCAGGTAGAAAGTGCGTTCGAGAAATTGCCTTCTTTTATTACGGCCTCATTAGTAGTCATTACCCTTCATTAGTCGTTATATGCTCGCTGGAAAAATCAAAGTGCGCCCAAAATCAAACGATGCGTAGCTGTTCTCCCACATCCAGTCTGAAGATCTGGGTCCTTGGGCCAAGTGTTCCGTGCTTTCCATCCTGATGCAATACGGTGCTTTTCGTTTCCTCGTCTAACTTTTGTTGTGCTTCTTCCGAAGAGTACATTCTACTCTTGATCCACGCCACAGACCAACCTCTGTTGTCCTTGACCTCGTCGTGTGCGCTGATCCAGTATCGAGCTCCAAGGTTCCGGATTATCTCAGCGCCTCCTGGATATCCTACTGCTACCACACCACCCATGAACCACGGATTCTCCTCCGTGTTGATCGAATGAAACAGAGCCGTGAGAGGTAGTGCCGACTCTTTGGCCAAATGTGACGATGCATATGGCTCAATGGCAGTATATGCGACGCCATGGGGGCTGTAGAGAACACTGATGGTCTTTTCGCGTGACGGAAACATAGGCGAGTTTCCATCTAGCTCCATGGGCGAATCAGGTGGTGTCATAGGGTTGTTTCGACCGTTCATTGGATCTGGGAAATTTCCTGCCATTGGAGAGTCTTGTGGGGATGGCGGTAGGTTCAACAGATTGACGACGGATCCGTTTACTGATGTGGTTGTGCTGTTTGGTGCTCGATATGTAAGGCCTATCGCGTTGTGAAGCCTCGTAGGATCCATCCGTTGAGGCACGTAAGTCACAGTGACTTCACCGCCTTGGCTAAAGGAGGAGTAGCCAGGGATTGGAATGCGTATAATCGAGTCATTATTCTTGCTGTTGTATGGCTGCATTGTTTCGACAGTCGCATGTGTGAAGTACTTCCATGATCTTATCAGCTTGGAAGCTACTGGAGTTGCCAGAATGCGAATCCTGGCGTCTGCTGGTAGAGTGCACAAGGTCTGCTTATGGCAGTGATCGGGTTTGTCCTGCGATATGATGATGAGGTCCGGTTGTGGAATCTCTCTCAACGAAGAGATGCATGGTGAAGTTGTGTGATGTGATATTTGGAAAGATTCCTTCCAAACAGAAGAGCTTCCAGTCACCCAAGGATCAATCAAGACAGTAAAGGATCCAGGAAACCGAGCCGACGCACGTGCAGGCGCGAACAAAGGGATGAAGTCGATCAAGAACGTTGTATCAGCATTTAGAGGCTTCACGTTCATGGCCATATCGACTATCCACGCCGTTCCTCACAAGAACAGGAAGAGTGAAAGTAGGAGATGACAAAGGAGAGAAGAAAGATTCCGGGCTTCCGTTGAGGCATGTTTGAGTAAAACCTGAAAAACGACCTGAATGTTCTCCCGTTGAACGACAGAAACAACAACCGAGCTAAAAGTGGATACACGACCCAGATCTGCATGGAGCAGGAGCCAAGCCCAAGCCACCGGATCGCGCCTTCTTTGATCGGGGCAGTCTCACGCGGGCTGGACAAGATGGAAACCAGAGCTGAACATAAGAGTGTCCTTTCCAAAGAGTTTTCGTGCTGTAGAATCGATAACAAAAGACCTGCATGGGTCGTCTTTTGTTCAATCTCGACGTGCGATTGCCTTTTCGGGGTTTTGTCTCAAAATCCACCGGCTGGACCTGTTAGCGAGGGCGATGGAAGGTCTCGGCTAGGGCTACTTACATCGGGGTTCGGTTAAGAGCTTCCACGCGGGCTCGATTCCAAACGGCAATCACTCGCGGGTTCGAAACTCAAATGACTTCATGAAGCAGGTGCAGACTGCGACCGCGCGTAAAGATGACTGTTCTTTCTTTGACACCTTTCGCCTGTTTCGATAAGAACAGGGAATAGGGCACTTGTATCTAGGTACTTTCCTGCCAGTGTCCCTCACAGCGGCTCGTGGTCGTGCCTAATCTCCCATTCGACTTCCTTGCGGATGATGCCTGATCGCGAGTGCCAGCTCTCCATAGATCGGGCCTCATCGACACCTCTGTCGCGGGATTCGTGGTGGACTGACGTCCTTGTGCCCAGCTTCGAGCTCAAGCTCATGCCTTGGGATGCTGATCGCGCCGATGCGCCATGATTTCGATGGCTTGGCTTGGAGATCGGACCCATCATCAGATACGCGCCATTCAATTCGGAGCGTGAGGCACTATGTGAGTCGTCCGTCTTTGCGACAGATATGTTGTCGAAAGGATTCATGAATGCTCGGAAAGATGGTATGGATGCAGATACTAGCGACCATGCCAACCATATCTGAATCCAGATCGCTGGCGAGATGAAAGAGAAGCCCTTGTCTTCGGCATCGACAGTCCGAGAAAGCCGCCGCAGGTGTGTGATGGAGAAACCAACAACACTGAATAAAGTCAGAATAGGCACAGTTCAGGTTCAGGAGGTACTCACGCAAGTCTGAATGCGAAAGCAGTCATGACAAGCATCTTCGGCCGCGAGCCTAGCATCACGCCAGACACGAGGTATGAAGGGACGATCATGAGGGCGGCTTCTGTAATGATATCAAACGTTGTCACAGCTCGCCATCGTGTTATCTGTTGCTAGGTGAGTAATGGAAGCTTGACTCATAATGATTGTACTGACATATGATGGACAGGTATTCCTCTTTGAAAAGAAGTGATGCGGTGAGCAATTTATCAAGAGGACGAAAAGTGCAACGATACCCCAGGCAACGGTAATGCCCAGAAGCGACCAGCACAGTGCAGTATTGAGCCTTCGGTTGTGGGTGAAGAGTCGTCTGACAAACAGTGCGAGCGATACCTTCGAAAGCGTATATGCGAAGATGAAGAGCACTTCAGCCGCGTATATGGACTACGTGGGTCAGTCAACTGGGCTTTCACACTACTCGTCCTGGACACATACGTCGTCGATGCTCGCAATTTGACCTCGCTCGAGGACTTTGCTTGATTTCCCGAATCCTGCCTTCAAACCAACGAAGATAGGAATGTGCTGGCATACCGCAGCTAGCTGGCTCACTCGTTAGACGCGAGACTGTTGGACCGAAAAGAAAGATACATACTGTCGCTGCCACCAACGCCCAGTCGTCCGCGCCATAAAGACCCCATCTAGGTAGATTGTGAGTTGGTTTGGTCAGTCATGTTCTTCCATTGCCAACTTACCTAACATTCAGCCGTACTAGAAGTGTGCCAAAGGGGTATATCAAGGAGAGCAAGGCGACAATCCATACATAACCAGCATGGTCTGTGTCGGTGATGCGCGAGAAGTAGTAAGTACCTGGCGGTAGAGGAGCACCGTTGACCGTCGTCAGATTAGCGGCCATGTGTGCATGTTACAGCGGTTATAAATCAGGTTCAAAAAAGAGCGACAAAGAAGCATTACCAAATGACCGCAAGGTGCGCATGTCACTACATATCCTCTTTATTTGGGGTCACTCTATTCCCTCAGGGCTCATGCTTCCTGCTCACGTTATCATCGATGGAGAAAGCCATCAGAGATTGCTGCTCGGCTTATTGGTCTTCACGAGGCAGAGTCTTGGAAAGACCCTGGACCTGCTCGTGGCTGTGGCTGAGAATCCTGCCGGGTGCATGATTGGGCTTGCTTCCGGATCAGCCTGGAAGGAGCACGCAACCGACATGCTCGGTTGACTTGTTTCGCATGCCGAACAGTGCGGATGTTGGTAAGGCCAAGAGGGTGTACGAGCGTGCTCATGCTTAGCCGCGCCTTGTGAGGTGATCGACTGGGCAGTTCATGGCGTCTGCAGGTGAGATGAAACTCGCTTGTGCCAGATCATCGATTGAACTTCGAGAAGACGGCTCTTGGGCCCAGCTACCTATCAGACTTGAGACACTGGCAGTATTCTGTAAGCAGGGTGTTGGCTGACAGAGCTGATCAGCAAGTCTCAACAAGACATTACGAGTGCATCATGAGGAGAGTAAGGAGAGGCTGTCAGAGCGCTATACTTTAAGCTTCGCACCCTGCGTCCACCGCCTCGCACGTTCAAGGGGTCAAGTCCGTAAAGCTTTTCTGCGCTCATACCGACAGAAGCCAGAGCTTGGTGGCGCGCGTGCAGGCATACCGCTGGTATGGTAAGCAGTCGGCAGGAAGAGAAAGCCGCGACAAGCATTTCGGCAAAATTCCATGGCTTGATGGTAGACCTATAGGCGTGGTTTGTCTTATCAGCTTGCGAGAGCGGAACAATCGCATTTGGTCGTCGCTTTACGGCACCACAAAGATACAGTAGATGAAACCTCTATATTTTGGTTTCGCTGTCGAAAGTTTTGATAGCCTGCCTCACAATATTGAAGGAGCAATCGAGTTGTTCGCGTAAGAACTTCATACTCAGTTGCAACTCTGTTTACGAGCAGAATCTCTCAGCTGTGGTGGTGAACAGAAGGCGTCGTCCTTATCAGCGGCTAATCTATACTGATATAAAATCTCGAAGCCTGGACCCCTTGAACCCTCCGCGCAGATCTTGAGGGGTCGTCGTCTCCCCAAACACTTTCCGTCAAAACTATGTTCATCCTTCAAAGGATTTTACCGTGCGTAAGAAACTCCAGGACCCGGAATAATATATCCAAGACCCGACTATTGAGCGGCGTGTGGCTTGCATGCAATGGCGGAAAAATAAAACTCAAGGCTTGTATGCAGAGCGAACTCTGGGCCCGGGCTATCGTCAAGAGCAGTCAATGCTCCGCGGCATAGGTATTGCATCAGCAGAGAAGCGTGCAGGTGGTGGGCAGAATTGATTTGTTGCTGGTGTCTTTTCGTTGCCTTAAGTCGGAAGGTGGGTAATGTATGCGATGAACTAAAATTGATGGACGACAAGAGGTAAACTATATGACTTCGGACTATCCTTGAAACATGTTCTTCCTTGCTCCCTTTCCTTTTGTAAAGTCTTGGGGTGTCGAACTACATCTTGGTCGTCAATCTCAATTTCGCTCTTGCAACCATGTCGATGTCTTCGGAGGAGAACAAGAGTAGCGCTATACGCTTCGGTGAGCGTGAGGTCAGAGACTCTGACAATCGACCGACGAAAACTGCCGCCGCTGCTCGCCATGCGCAATTCGAACTCGGCGATTTCAATGATTCGGCAAGAGACGAGGAGTCAGATGAGACGGCGGACGTGTATGGCTCTGTACCATCGGACAAGCGCGATATGATGCGTATGGGCAAAGAGCAAGAACTTCGTGTATGTCTTTTTTGGTGGCCATCGTCCTGTCTCGGACTTGCATTGACGTTTGTGCGCACAGAGAGTCTTCCGACAGGTCTCGCTCTTGTCTTTTACTGCTATCTTGATGGCGACCTGGGAATTTGTTCTCATGGCTTGTACGCAAGGTCTTGTTGACGGTGGCCGTGCTGGTTTGTTCTGGAGTTATATCTGGGTAATGATTGGGTACGGTTTCATCATCGCAAGTCTGGCTGAGATGAGTTCGATGGCTCCTACATGGTGAGTAGAGCTTAGATAATGTTCAGGATGGTGCTGACCAAATCTTCGTAGTGGTGGACAGTATCACTGGGTGTCAGAGTTCGCGCCTCCAAGTTGTCAGAAGTTCCTGTCGTATATCACAGGTTGGGTCTCGACTCTGAGTTGGCAAGCTGGGTATGCGCTTCAACACAACGGCATCCACAAGTACTGACCGAAGACTAGAAACGCTTCCGGAGGCTTCATCTGCGGTACGCTAATCCAGTCCTTGATCATCATCAAGAACCCCGACTATGCCGCTCCTGGATGGCAGGGCACGCTGCTCGTTTTCCCCGTCATGCTTGTTTGTGTCGTCTTCAACATCTGGTTGAACCATTGGCTGCCAAGCATGCAAAATGCAGTCATGGTTCTGCATGTCGCTGGTTTCCTGGCAATCATGGTCATCTTCTGGGTGCTCAGCCCGCATGTTCCCGCCAGAGAGGTATTCCTCGACTTCCAGAACGATGGTGGCTGGCAAACGATGGGTCTCGCTCTCATGATCGGTCAGATTTCCGCAGTCGGTTTCCTGGGCGCCTCTGATGCAGCAGCCCATATGTCCGAAGAGGTCAAAGATGCTGGACTCTCGGTTCCAAGAGCTATGGTGAGTGTTGCTGGAGGACTTTTCCTTGACATATGCTAACCCTCTTCCAGTGGTGGACTTACATCGTGAACGGCCTCCTTGGTCTGATCATGCTTGTCTCATTCCTCTTCGCCATGCCATCTGTCGAAGACGCCATCAACGACGTTACTGGCTATCCGATGATGTACGCTTTCCAGCAGGCAATGCCCATGAACGGTACCATCGTCTTGACAGTGTTGATGATGGTCCTCCTCATGGCAGGTAACATCTCATATCAAGCATCGACAGCAAGACAGACATATGCCTTCGCTCGTGATCGCGGTTTCCCAGGCTCGCGCTGGTTGGGATATGTCAACCCGAAGCTGATGATTCCAGTTAATGCTGTCATCTTCTCAGCAGTGTTCACCATCATCTTGTCGCTGATCAACATTGGATCTTCAGCTGCCTTCAACGCTATCATCTCGCTGGGTGCTGTTGCACAGATGGGAACATATGCTATTTCGATCACTTGCGTGCTGTACAGACGCCTGACAGCCCCGCACCTTCTCCCCAAAGCAAGGTGGAGTCTTGGCCGTTGGAGTGTCGTGATCAACATTGTTGGCCTTCTCTTTGCTTGGGAGGTCTTCTTCTGGTGTAAGTAATATCAGGTGTTCCTTGGACGCGTCACTAACAATCCAACAGGCTTCTGGCCTAATGCTCAACCGGTTACTGTCGACAACTTCAACTGGGCCCCGGTCATGTTTGTCGCGGTTGTCGTGGGAGCCTTGATTACCTACTACTTCCAAGGCCGTCGTGTCTACACAGGACCAGTGGCCATCGTCCAAGGCCGTCAAGAGGAATCACTGGCTGGCTGATAGCAATAAAGTCGGCATCCTTAACGTGAATATAAGTCGCGAAACAGTGGTGTTCATAGATAAACGGTCGGTCAAAATTAGGTTCCAGCTTTATTTTGGTGACGCTTTCTGCCGCTTCCAATGGCCGTGCGTTTGACGAGCATGTGAAAGAGCTTCTTCAGCTCTTGACGAAAAGGAAAACTGCGACCACTGAGCGAAGGATTTGAGAAGTCGTGCAAGTTGTCTCGAAAGTCCAGATCGGATGTCAAGAATGTCTCTGGAAGTTCTTGTCTCGAACCGAGACCATCCGGACGCGTCGCAGCCAATGGCAGATTGCAGGGCAGGGCGGTGAAGTCATCATTTGCTGGGCTGTGTGTTTCGGCGCCGTTACGGTCGCAATCGTCCAAGGGTCGCTCTGTTTTCGCAGCTCCTGAGCTGCCGTGGCCTGTGCCTTTTCTGCTGCTCGTTCTGTTGCTTTGTGCTTGCCCCGCGTGTGTGGGGCGTTTGTGTTCAGCTTCTCTTGACTCTCTCCTATCGTCACGTATCTCTTCATACCTCTTCGCGCTCCGGCTTCACGTTTTCATCACATTGCTTCTTTTCTGTGTAGTGGATAAGCTTCAGTGAGCTCCAATCGAGCTCCATGACAGCTCCTTACCCCTCGCCGGCCGTACCCGCCTAAGCTGGTAACCCGACCTGCCTTTGTTCCTTCGCCCCGAAAGGCTTCAATCATCGTCATCCGTTCAGTAGCTTGGTTCAGGTGCCTTGCGGCTGGTCAAGCTGGCAGCTCGAGCTGCAAGACTCGACTCCTCAATCGACATGCCTCCCAAGTTGAACCACACGTCTAACCATCACGCGTCTGATCCGGACAACGAAGTCGTCTGTCCGATCAAGTCTGCGGATGGCAGCAACTGTCGCAAGAAATGCTTGGGCGTGCGTCTCCCTATTTCTTCTTCCTGTCCTTGCTTCGTCTCCCAATATTCACTGCTTTGCCGTCGTCCATCGTGTATCTCTGTCCCTGTCATTGTCCCATGCACCATGTCACCTTGTCTGCCCCGCAAGTCGTTCCACCACACTGCTTTGCTTCGTGTCGGTCAATATGGAAACGCGACTTACAAAGGGATTATAGGAGAAGCGATTCCGCTCTATGCAGGAGCATATCCGGCGAGCGCATCCGGAATACTATATTCCCAAGTTGCCGGCAACAAAGGAGAGCTTTGAGTTGATGGTCAACTCACCGCCGTCGGAGCGGCCACCACGAGTGGAGCTATGGTCGCCGACGTCTGCCCCACGCCAACCACGATCACAACCTGCAGATCGCCACCACAACAATGACCAGTATGCAGTTGGAGGACCCTCTGCAGGTGTGTTCAATGCGCCCGTGAGCGTTGCATATGACAGCCTGAGCTCATATGGATTTCAAGGCGGGCTGGGCCCTGTTCAGATAGCCCCCGACGGCTACGGATTGCCCGCGGAATACCGAAGGGGCTCCCTTATCCCAGCTGCGAGCGCGGCTGCTGCCCTGGCACAGCTGCACTATGCTCGACCAGACGGAGAATGGGACAATGATCAAGTAGGCCCTGACTGCGCTGATGACGCTGCTCCGAGCGCTAAGTACATGCGTCAGAACTATTTCAACGACCATGTGACCGACGCAAAGAGAGCTCACATGGTAGATCCCACCCTCTCGGCTGGACAGCAGTTCCTCGATAGCCAGTACCAAGAAGACCAGAATCCGTCTGGCATCATGTCGGCGTCGTTGCTCAAATCACCCGCGAGCCGCCAGAACACGCTTCCTCCCATGCAGCGCTCCATCTCCCATAGCTCGCGTCCTCGTAAGAACTCGCTGACACAGAGCGCCCGTAAAGCAAAACACGAAAGAGACAAGATCAAGAGCGAGAACCGCAAGGCCCTCAGTGCCGAACCCAACATGTACGGCAAGAGATGGGAAGACTTGATAGACGCTGCGACGTCGGCCACGGAAGAGGATAGAGACCTCACTCCTGTGCGTTGGATACAATTCTCTTTTGTCACGAACGGCTACCACTAACTGCTCGTAACAGTTACCCGTCTCGCCATACAAATCACCACAAGTGGGAGCACGTACCCCGTTAGCTCCCTTCGCTCTTGGCTCTCAGTTCCAATCATATACCGCCTCCCCTCTACAACAAACCCTCACACCTCCTCCAGCCGACGCAGATGGACCTCCTCTAGACATGGGGCCGTTCCCGTCTGTCGAGGACAACGCCGTCTCATCATCCATCGACTCAAATCAATCAGGGAATAACTTTCACATCATGCCATCACAGGCCCTCTCGTCGGACTCATCACCAATGTTCTCGAATCCGGTCCAAATATACTGTGCAGGCTGCAGAAGGCTCAGCATCCTCAAGGAATGCTTCGCTTGCACAGAGTGCATCTGTGGTCTCTGTGGAGGCTGTGTGGATGCACTAATGGCAGAACAGTCTCGCGGTCGGATAGCGCAATGCCCACGATGCCGCACTATGAGTGGACGATTCAAACAGTTCCAGCTCGACATTCGCTGAGAACTGTCTCACACCTTCACCCTCTGATTCTTCATCTCGACTTGTTTAATAGCACAACTTCATCATTCTCTTCTTGTTGGCTGGGCTGTCTATTTTGGAATCTGTTTGGCGCTGGTAGGCGTTTCATCTGGAGGTTATGGATGCCTTCTTTCTTTTGGGGCACTAGGAATGGGATAGACTGGTATGGAACACATCGGGGCTGCAACGAGCAATTAGGAAACAATCATCTTTGGGAACCCGGTCAATTTCAATTTCACAGCAACAGATTGTCTGTTCCTTCCTTTTTCACTTGTTCAACTGCTTAGCGCTGCAATAAGACTGGTCGGCTGTGTTTTTTCTACCATCTTCCTCACTTGCTGATTTGTCTCACTTTCGAGCAGTTCCACTCAGTGTCGACCTCAACTCCATGCTCGCGCATCAACCATCCACTTTGCTTCTTACACCAACACACAGGGGGAAGAAGCGGTCGATCCCCACCTGCCACGTCAACCCTGACTCACGGATTGTTGCTGCTATCGCTAGGATTTGCTGCCGTCGCCTGCTTGATCATGTCAACTCCACCAAAGGAGCAAAGCGCACCTTCGCCATCGACCGGAGCCGTGTCGACTCCCGACAATTGGCCATCCCCGTATGTCTCGGTCCTCACAGCGCTTGTATCGCATGTACTGACCAGTACCAAAGCAAGCAGTTCCAAGGAATGGTGACTCTCGTCGTGGGTAAATGCGAGAACGTACACACCGTGCACAAAGATCTCCTCTGTTTTTACTCTGACTATTTCCGAGCCGCTTTCAACGGCTCGTTCAAAGAAGCCACTGAGCAGAAGATCAAGCTGCCTAATGTAGAACCAGAAGTGTTCGAGACATTCCAGGTCTGGCTCTATACGCGCAGATTTCACCTGCCTGAAGAAAATGGTGAAGCATACTCGATGCTTGCCGAACTCTGGATATTCGGCGACCAGCACCAGATGCCTCTTCTCCAAAATGAAACTATGGATGAAATGTTATTTCGCTTCAACAGGGATGTTTTCTTCACCACCCATGCTGTCAAGCTGGCGTACGAAAATACCATGGCGGGATCTCATTTGCGCAAAGCTGTCATCGAGATAGTAGGATATACCATGGATCTTGGAAAATCGCCTCAGAATGCTCTGGAAGCCTTGGGGGACTGGACTGTCGAAAGTCTCGCCGACCTCACGCGTGAACTTTACAAGTCTCGTGCGAAAATGTCAACTCTTCCGCATAAGTACGAGTTGCCCAAAAGAGACAAGTGCTACTTCCACGTGCACAGCAAGGGCGAGCAATGTCCTGCATGAAAGACGGGCCATCAACACCGGACAACTGCTTGTGAGGCTAGCAGGTAAGCTAGGTCTCTCATTGAACCCTTTTCGAATCCGTATCTAACAGGATTTGGCAGACAAGAACGACGACGATTCACTATGCCACCATTACCCGTCATTCCAGCGTCCACATTATCTGGAACGTGGGCTCGGTTTCCAGCAGCTCAATATCTTTCTCGCCAACCCCATCTCTTCAACACACCCATCAACACAGAACAGTCTTCACACTCAGCTCAGCATATCACAGACCCACATACAAACTTCCAATAGCAGAGACTGAGCCGAGACAACATGCATGTTAGACTAGCTTTCTTTCCCCTCCTCCGAAGTACTACACAGAATCTCCATTACACACTTTTATTCCAAGCCTCTATTCTCTGTGAGACACTGTGATATTCCTATGTAGTTCGTACCGAAGGTCCACCATAGCCTTGCATATATAGAATGTTTGCCTCGGTGCACCCAGACCTCCCTTTTCCGGAGGCAATCCTTGGCATCTCTTTTGGGACTAGCGTCCCATGCCAAGGCCTCCTTGTGGGAGGTCTAGGACGAAAACTTAGCGTTTCGGTCAAGAAACGACGCATGCCTTAAGTTATACCATCCATTACGCGACAATAAGTAGTTAATATCGAATTCTAAGACGACTACGTCGTAGAGAAAGAAGGTATCTTAATATTTCGCTAGTTTTTATGCTCTAATCCTTACATTCCGGAGACGAGATAGGAATCGCACGCCTAAACTACTAGTANAAGAAACTACGCTTATAGTCTACTACCCCGTCCGCCCCTTACAATTGCCTACCTTTACGAACATAGTAGCCATTTAGGTAGAGGAATTCCCTACGCTACAAGCCTATAGGCCTACTAAAGATGCCACTACGGAATAAGAAAGCTAAGAGCGTGCCGTCGCTTAATAAGAGCTAACTACTACCGACTTTACCGACAACCCCTAGACAGTGTATCGACAAAGCGGA